GAAATAATAACAATATCTGCATCTGTTGATTTAACCCAAATCCTGACCATGTCCATCTTAGTTAACAAGCTGCGCACATTAAGATGAACAATTTTAAGACCAGACAAGGATTTAAAATCAGATGGTGTCTGGATACACTGCAGCTCAGGGCCAGGGTTAGGTTGCACGTTACCAGATAAAAGTAATAATAAGACAATCAACAATCTCTGCTTAGTAACATTACATGCTGAAGCCGAGCAGGATCTCTCACTGAACGTGAGGTGATTATGCAGAGCTAAAAAGCTTTGAAGTCGGGGTAAGTCTATGGGCAGATCAGATGATAAGTTCATGTCCTGTGCCAAATGGAGTGGTAGTTGTACAGGTTGCACAGCAGCTGTAGTGCAAGTGCATCCGGGAGAAATGACCAGCAGGTTGAACACATTGTCAGATGTACTCACCCAGGAACGATCACTTGCCCCCAAGTCCCACACAGTCGATAAACAAAGTAAAGTCAGTAGAAATGCCATAACTCCACAACTCTCAACACTTATAAAAGTAGAGAGAGTAGAGTAGTAATAATCATACTTCTAATGTTATTACACACAACATCAACAAATTCTCACTTTGAAGCTGTCGAATACTGGCTCTTGGCTAGTGACTTCCAGTGTCAGACACTGACGGGAGCAGGTGCAGCTCCCTTTCACGTCGGCATGATACGCAGCCAGTCACCATTATTGTTTACTGGTCCCCAGTGGCGTCAGGGGAAAACGTGATGAGACAACAACAAAAGTTAAAGTGACTGAAGTCTGAGTAGGACGAGTGGTGGATGTGGTGTTTGTAAAGCCAAACCCTGTTCTTTTTTCCCAAATGTGCCCACGTGCGTTTGCTGTGTGGTGCTGTACCAATGTAGTGCTTTTATTTTGAAAGAGACTGTATGCAAACTGTACATTTCCTGTGAAAACAGAAGTGTATTTTGAAAACAGACAATGCATGTAACAACAGCCAACACACCCAGGGTACCTTGGACGTCAATTATTGGTTATTGGTATCAGTTGAAAAAAATCGATATCGGTGCGTCCTTATTTTGTTGGTTAAATAATTACAGATAAAGACATCTCTGTACGCTTCTTGTGATGTGGCACAGCAGTGCCCCCTAGCTGTATTTTGAAAGGTGCTCTTTTATTCTGAAAGTCCTTGCTATTCTATTGGTTGTTAAAGTCACATGGGTAGGGTCACGGGCCATCTTGTTTGTTATTGTGCATGGAAATGTGCTCCAGAGCATTAACAAAGAGCATGGACACCAAGAGGCGACGCTCAGCGGAACGCCCCATAGCAACAGACTCGCCCATGGTTTCGTCCTACCGCCGCCATTTTGGACTGTCAGCAGACCTCAGCAGACCCGCTTGCATACATAAACACACAGACATACTGAATTATTTTGCTATTAATTATGCTTACAATGCTACTCACCTCGTGATAGCTTGGTCACAGCTGCTTTTTCACGTTTTTGTAAAGCTAAATATAGACTTTAAAAAAAACAAAACGAGGAAAAACGGCCGAGATGGCATCTCTACATATTACATCCACTTATGAGAAGATTAACTTAATTACTCCTTCAAAATCACCCCATAAGCCAATCTACCAAAAAATAAAAATTTAAAAACAAAAATCAATATTTTAACTACAAACACATTAATGGCGACGTCACATAGTCAGGAATAAAGATTTATTTACAGTTTGTACAGTAAGGGGACAGTAATAATAATAATAATA